GAGAGAGAGAGAGAAAGAGCGTACATTTGAATCGTGCAAAGAACACGGTGCAAAGAAAAACCAAGAGGAGAAGGAGGAGGAGGAGAAGGAGGAGGAGGAGAAAGAAGAAGAAGAAGAAGAAAAAGAAGAAAAGAGGAAGAGAGCAGGAAATGAGAGGAAATGTGAGGGAAAAGGGTGAGAAATAGAGTAGAAAAAAAAAAAGACAAACGAACGAACGAGAAAAGTGTAACTAAAAAGTAGATAGCAAAGGATTCGTCTGTTCATTAAGGGGACGGGGAAGAGCGAGAGATTGTGGGAAAAGTGTTTGAAAGAAATTACGGGAGGAAAGAGAAGAGGGGATGGAAATCGAAGTTAGCATAGAGGAAGGAGGGTGATTCGACGACGACGAAACTTACGTTTCGAGGACGAATGCTCGAAGACGCATAATCGTACCTTTTGTGATTTACGACGACAGTTGCGCGGCTCCATGACGAAATAAAGTCGGCGTCTACGGTTTTCTATAGGTCATAGGGGCGTTTCGGGGGTACGCGAGGAGATCGTTTCCCTTCTCGAGCCTCGCTTCTCACACCGGCCTCGCTTTTCCTCGCTCCTTGTTCCCCGGTTATTAGGGCTGCCTTTCGCTGTGGGACAATCGAAAGGTACCGGCTAATGGGCGGAGCTTTTGGGCAGAACCACTGCGTCATATTCCACCCTGTCGACGGGGGCTCGGTATTTCCATCGTTTCTGGAAGCATGCATTTTTCATCGTGGTTAAGCAGCATGTTTGCTCTCTCTCTCCCCCCTCTCCCCCCCCTCCAACTATCGGATATTTTCATTGTTGCCATTCGAATTTTCGCTTCGCGAATTTCCGCTTATTAAATTTTTCCATTCTTTTTTTCTTTTCTTTTTTTTTTTTTTCGTCGATTTTTCATCGCGTAAGATTCATTTAAAATTTTAAAATTCATTCGTTCACACGTATGCTTACGTATGCTTCTTTCTTCTTCTTCTTCTTCTTCTTCTTCTTTTTCTTCTTTCTCTTCCTTCTTCTTTTCTTCTTTTACGAAGAGAGTCGTAAAGTTCGGTAAAAAGACAGAAAGACGAGTGTTTTACGAAGCCACACCAAGTCCTATCCAATTCCAACCGTCATTCCAAGTCCAAACATAACGCTATTCTACGGAGCAAACATTTCTACTTTTCGTCGTGCAAACCTTCCATGATACCTCGGGGAAGCTTGCTCTTCAACTGTGCTGACCATTTCGCGACTCATTCAGCCCCGCCATTCATCTCCCTTTTCCATGTTGCACATGCTTAATGGCTACCTGTATATTCATGCTATTTTGCGCGCGAATCAACATTCAAATCGCGTGCGCATACGTGATTACGAATCGAAGGGTATATATATATATATATCATACGATTTTGGATTCGCGTTCAACCAATTTGTCCATTTTATATTTTCCCGCATTTTCGCGCTGTTTAAAAATTCGTTCGAATTCGAATCTCGAGGATGGGAGGAGTGAAACGGAAGTCAACGATGTTGAAGCTCGAAGTGCGAAGCGAAACGGAGCATTCCCTCCGTCGTCGTTCGACGTTTGCGCCCAGCCCCCATCGTTCAATGCGGACCGTGCTTTTTTTATGTCAACACGAGGGCCAATTGAGTGGATATAATAGCGGTACCACATGTTTCGCTCGGATTCGCCTTTGACATGTGGGTTCCGTCCGTTCCTTTTCTCTCTCTCTCTCTCTCTCTCTCTCGTTCTCTCTACGCGCATTAAAACACTAACAGACTTCTGCGAAGGGAGGATCGGGAGCGGCCACTAACGACAGTCCTCGAAGTCATCAAATTGATCGCCATGATTTGGCTATTCCCCTCCCCCCATCGTGCGACCGCTGAAGCGACCTCGTGCACGCTTCGCGTCGTGCCCACCAATTGACCGGTCGATTCGACAAATTTTCAAACAACGTCCTTCTTCTCCTCTTTTTCTCGGTTTCTTAACTTCTTCTCCCATCCTTACCTGTTGGTAATATTATTATAATAAAAAAAATTATCACAGAGAATGGAGAGTCGTTAGTTTGTGCCATCTCGTGCGATCTCGTTGAATTGAAAATAAATTGGAGAAAATGCGAATTCCATTGGTCGTCCATAGGTCGCACACGTAGGAAAAAATAGGTCGGATTCACAGCCTCGTCGCCTCCACGATACTCTTTCTGGAAAGGGTACTGATCTCCGATTCCCGTTTCCTGTTTTGCAGGATCTCTACCATGCAACCGTTCTCGAGCGGCAACGCGATGGCGACCGAAACACCGACCAGCCTCCCACCGGAGAGAGTCACCTCACCGGCACCGTGCAAGAACTTGACCTTCTCGATCGCGAAAATCATGGAGCCGGACAAACGTCTGACCGAGCAGAGCAACAATCAGCAAACGACGACGACGACGACGACGGCGACGACGACGCCGCCGCAACCACCGCCGCCGCCGCCGCCGCCCGCCATCCCCTCGTTAAATTATTCGGCCCACTTGGAATCAGCGTTCAAGAAGTACGTGCCAACGTTGAGGCAACAGAATCTGCTGCAACCGTACTCCCTTCTCTATTATCATCCCAACTCGCTGCTGAGTGCCTTCCCAGCTCCGCCACCCGCCACCCCTGCCGCGGTCCCACAGAATTCACCGCCCCCCATCACCATTCAAAAAGCTTTCTCGAAGATGAGCCTGGCAGCGATCTCGCCGAGCGAGGGCCAGCGTGAAAAGAAGAGCCCCGGACCACGGAGTAACGAACTCAGCACAACGAACAAACAGAAGACATTCACCTGCCCTGAATGCGGCAAGGTGTTCAACGCCCACTACAATCTGACCAGACACATGCCCGTCCACACGGGGGCGCGGCCGTTCGTCTGCAAGATATGCGGGAAAGGGTTTCGCCAAGCGAGCACTCTGTGCAGGCACAAGATCATCCACACGGCGGAGAAGCCGCACAAGTGTCCGACCTGCGGCAAAGCTTTCAACCGAAGCTCGACCTTGAACACGCACAGGCGCATCCACGCCAACTACAAACCGTTCGTGTGCGAGTACTGCGGCAAGGGGTTCCATCAGAAGGGTAACTACAAGAATCACAAGTTGACGCACAGCGGCGAAAAGGCGTACAAGTGCAACATTTGCAACAAGGCGTTCCACCAGATTTACAACCTCACCTTCCACATGCACACCCACAACGACAAGAAGCCCTTCTCCTGCAAAATCTGCGGCAAGGGATTCTGCAGGAACTTCGATCTCAAGAAGCACATGAGAAAATTGCACGACAGCGGATCACCCGTGTTGAACGGCCTAGGTACTTCGGCCCAGGGTCACAATCAACAATCCGGTTACACGTCCGTCCACCACGGACCCGGTGCCCACTCGTTCGTCAGTCCTTTCCTGCTCCCGCCACCAGGCACCACCACTTACTTGAGCAAAATGTTGTGACAAGGCGACGGTATTCATTATCCGAGAAAGACGCAGTGCCCTTTGATCCTTGGCCCGCCTTGTTACACGGGGGACATCGGCCAGTTGACGCAACCCTCGAAATGAAGGGGCGGCGAGGAAAGGAATATCGGTGATCGTTTATTATCGTTAGAATTACCTTACGAGTAATTCGAGGATGAAGCAATGGAAATGGACGATTAGGATCTCGAGGATCGTCGCCTTTTCACCGTCAGAGTAATTGTCTCTCTCCGATAAAGAGAGACCAAGGCAGAGATACCAAAGACGCGGCAGAGACACTTCGACTTCGACGACAACCGTGGGGAAAACGTCGTGTGTGTGTGTGTACGTGTATACACGTTACCGTATTGTTTCGAGACAACCAACTACCTCATCTACAGCAACTAAATTGTAGGAGACATTATTCCTGTTTTACCTTTAACACTAGTCTCAGCCCTTTTACGTCACGATATAACGTATATCATTTAACCAAACTGCACGAGTACTTTCTTCGAATACCTCCGTTTCCAAATTTCTTTTCCTTTTTCTTCGATCACGCGGTATCTCGCAAACACACATATATATATATATATATATGTGTGTGTGTGTGTGTGTGTATGTGTGTGTGTGTGTGTGTATATTCGAAATTCTACCTGTTTAATTCGCGATCGCGAATTTATTGAAAGCGAAGTAAAAATTGAAAGCGATTCGCAATATCATCGTGGATAGAAACGATCGTGAACAAACATCGATGGAACAAACACAAGGCTCGATAAAAATCCAACAACGAGGTGCAGGTGCATTAATTTACGGGAAAACGCGAATTTTTCGACGCGACGAGCGAATAACGCGAATATCCTTAATTTCGAGGATGAACCAACGCGACGGCGAGGGCAAAAACGGTGGGCAAATAAGGGACGAGTAATCGAATTAGACGATTCGTCGCGGACAATTCCGACAGCACAATGATATTTTAACCGGAACGAGCAGCAGTTGCCAGCTGCAAAACACCGAGCGCGAATATATCGGAGAAAGCAAATAATCGGTCGTATCGGGCGAAATAAACCATGTTGGGAGGTAAATCAACAGATAGACAGAGATACATAAGTGCGTGTTGGCAGGATCGTTATAAACCGGATCCCCCATGGCGTCGGATTAATCGCATGAAAGCTCGATCGATGGTATCCCGGCGAGAGATGATTACTTATTTATGTAAATACATGTAAATATTTGTACCTGCGACAGAGAGGTGATTTCGTTATAGCGGCGCGTTGACGGAAATTATCGACGGAAAA